TTACCAATGAGGGCAGAAGAGACAGACAGCGAGAGAGCAGGCAAATGCTAAGGGATTATATAATGCCACTTATGGTGTTAAATGAACTACTATGGCATCCGAGTACTGAAATGTTTAAATATCTCAACAATGGACGGTACAGTATAGAGGAGAGGAGAGGAGATTCTGTTAAGCCTGTAAATCTATCCGCTAACAAAGCGCGGTGAGGAATGATAGAAACACTCCTCTTGTCTCTCGTATTAAACCCTGTCTGGTTTATAAATCAAACCAAATGCAGCAGTTGTGAGACTGAACGCTCGTCAGTCAAAGTGACAGTCATACGCTGCCTGTCATACAGAGCAGTCTCCAGGTGAGCCGCAAAACTACACACTGCAGCAAGCTGTGTGTGTACATACAGTATGTACGTGGAGAAATGCTTATGCAACTATGGGTGTGTGTGTGAGCGTTTGAGAGCATATTAATGACAGGTAGGATGATGAATGGGACAGAAAGTCTGGTTTTCATTTTGGGACATATGACTCCATCAGGCCTACAGCCGCAGCTGTTAGGCCCACACTGAGACGCTCAACACCTCACATGCTCCTAGCAGCCACTTCCATGCATCATGTATGCACACAGATATAAAGAGAGGACATGCCCCATATAGTGTGGATTTACTTACCATATGTACATGGTGTAATGTATAAGATAAAATAATCTTACTTGAAACTCTGTACCTGAAAACAGACCCAACCTACAGACTTGGTGTTTAGTACTTGAACTCAAATTATTTAAAAAATATCACTGAAGTAAAACAAAAAAACTCTAAAAAACTACCGATGTCCAACACTTGAAAGAACTAAGATGCAGAGGAAAGGGATGAAGAGACTTTCAAGTGGTGCTCCTGTGAGGACTGAGTTGCACTAAACACAGTAATGGTACATTAAAACGGAGAGTTTGCCAATCAATCAGCATTCATTAAATTGTAAGGACCATCCCATTAGACGAGAGCATTCCCCACTGTTTCTGCTCTCTGAGCAAATATATTCCCCATGGGGTAAATTAGTTTTAGGCTCCACTCGCACACACACACACTCGGCTGCAGAGAGACAGGGGAGACACACACACACACACACACACACACACACACACACACACACACACACACACACACACACACACACACACACACACTTGAATGTGTAAACGCACAGCTAAATTCCTTCTTTTAAACACAAGACGAAAGAATTATCAGTGTAATTCCTTTAGTGATGTATATTATAACCTTTCTGGTATTTTTCTAATTCCAGTTCAAATTTCTGACCAGTGATGGTCAGCAACAGAGTCAGAGAGCCTGATTATTATTACAAAGAGAACACCAGAAGTGTGTCATCATGGTTTGGGCTTGGCTCCTAAGGTAGGGCTCTAATAATCTGTTGATTATTTAATCCATTAATCGCTATCAGAAAGATTCCCCTCACATTTTCCCAAAGACAGTCAAACAGTCCAAAAGCCAAACACACTCTACAAGTATAAAAGACTAAAATAATAAACATTTACATGTGAGCGGCTTGAACCGAGGAATGTGGCCATTGTTTCTTTCTCTTAAAACAACGCTGTTTTTTGACAAGGGCGGGGGTACTCGAACCACGTTGACCTGTGAGCAGCCGCAAACATTCAAGCCATGCTGGCACAATACAAATGGTTTTCCACAGGACAGCACGCAAGCTAAACAAAGTTGTTTACCTTGATGACGTGTTCCAGGTGTGCTGGTTCACACAAACCACAGTAAAGGCTGTTGTTAGCAGTTTGTGCTAGCAACCATTCCTCCCTGCAGTATTTAAAACTGACCTGCTGACCAAACAGTGCAGAATATGCCCATATCTTGCTGTGCAGACAATAAAATTCTCCTGCTGGTTCACCAAAGGAAAACTTTAAAATAAAAGTATTTTAAAATATATTTAATTTTTTTTTAGGCTCATACCTTAAAGAACAGCCACATAGGAATAAAATCAAACTCAACAGTACAGAGATTCAGGTAGAAGAAGTACTGAGAGCTGACCACTGAGAAACTGAAAACAAAGCATCCCCTCTAGTCACCAGCACACATGTGGGGCCAATCACTTGACTCAAGCGAAAGAAACAGCTTGTTTGAGGGCAGGGAGACCAGGCCAGAGCTCTGACCTCAATCCCATTCAACACCTTGGGAATGAACTCCCAACTAATGCTTTTATGGCTGAAGGTGTGCTGTTACAGCAGTATATCACTGGCCATATCCGTGGAATTAGATGTCCTTCAGTCACATACAGGTGTACTGGTCATCTGTTCGCATCCTGCCATGCAGTGTGTGTTTTATTCCAGCAATGTAAGCAAAGGAAAGGGATGCTGTACATGCATAGCAAGAGGTTATGTTGTAGAGAATATCTCTGTCTGAGTTCAAGTGAAGAGATGCAAAGTTTCCACTGCTTGAGCTGGTGAAACAAAGCGCTGTGGTGACTCAAACCAATGGCTCTCGTCCAGAATGCAATTTGTCCAGATGTACGCCGGGGCTTCTCCTAATCTCTGATGCTAGACCCACTGCTTGATTTTTCATCAGGGAGCATTATCTATGCTCAGAAGGAAATGAGACACATGCTGCAGCGTCTGCCGAGGAAAATCCCAAATAAGAAAACTGACCCCTTACAACAAGTGCAAGCGAGTGAATGCCTACACGCACGCACGCACACACACACACACACACACACACACACACACACACACACACACACACACACACACACACACACACACACACACACACACACCATTCTCAGGAGAGATGGCGATTCATTTTGTAGGATGTAACAGAACTAATTTTGGGAGTGAGCCTCTGTTAATGAGCAGGTCTTTGATGTGTAAATCCTCCAGTCCCAGTGCAAAGCTGATACGGTCTCCCCACAATCCTGCTCAGGTGCAGCCCTGCTCCCTTCTACATTACTTATCTTGTGTACCAAATACTGTAAGACCTCCAACAGCTAATAAACCCCTATCTAAGAGAGAGAAATACACACCTACGTGCATGCAACCTTGCAGAATAAAAAGAGAAAAAGAAGAAGAAAAGCAAGTTTAAGAAGGCCACTGGCACTGGGATGCTGTGGTGCGTATTTGTGCTCCATCTCATATCTTCATACTGTATATCCCATTCCTGTTTCTATTTTTACTCCCCCGTGGAAATCAGGCACCGATGATAAAAAATATTTTTTTACGAAGTAAATGTAAGTCTTCGGTTCATTTCATTTCTTCGTTGCTTCTCCACAGAATAATTGGATTGTGGCTGCACTGTCATGTACTCAGTGAAATGAATGCCTATTAATCAGTGGATAATTGGACACATACCCCTGATAAATGGTGCTGCTCCACTTTGAGTCACGTACAAATTAGGCCATTTTCAGGGATCCATTTCTTATCTGGCTTGACTCATGCTTATATAAGCTGCGAGCTAATATTGGTGGACCGAACTACAGATGCACTGAGTCATGTCCAAAATGAGATTACTTGATTTTACCACACGTCTATGATATCTAAGCACACATCAACTCCCTGCTGGTTTCTACAAGACATCACAAAATATAATACACTATGAGAACAGCACCGCGGCTACACAAAAAAGGGAAGAAGTAGCATAACTTCCATGGCAGGCAGAGTGAGTTAACAAAGTGCAAACTTACACTTGGGACAATGGTTGTTAAGTCTGGGACAGTTGAAAGTTTTTGCAGTTTCTTTTCAATATTTTTTCACTGCTTTTTTCCTTTTATTGAACAGGAAAATACACAGGAAAGGGGGAGAGAGAGAGACACGCAGCAAAGGGCCACAGGTCAGATTCGAACCTGTGGCCACTGCATCAAGGACTCTTGGAGTCTTGCCCAGTACTACCAGTTGAGCTACCAGGGCGCCCCTGATGCTACGTTTTACACACAGTACAATATGTGTTGTTTGGTAAAAATGGTGAGAAAAATGATCAGTTTTTACTATTAAACTTATACAAATTGTTTGGGTAATTATTTACAGGCGAAGATACATTTCAAACGACGGACTCTGCTATGTTGCAATAAAAATGTCTAATGGGATTTAAGCAAGAAAAGCCTTTTTGATCTGCTTTGTGAGTGACAAAACAAAACACTACGGGTCCACTCCAGAGATTTGTTTATTATGTTGCTATCGCTGCTAGGCTGTCAGCTACATCTAAAAGCTTAGCATGCGTTGCTAAAATTATATAACTGATTAATTAAAGTCTCTTCAGCAGTGAAATACCTTTTAATGATTACACATGACATGCTTTACTTGTAAACAATCTGAGATAGTGTAAATGTTGCATAATTGACACTTCTTTCTACCAACATTCCTCCTCTGCACTCTCGCTTATCATTAATAACACCCCCCCCCAATGATAATTAATGCATAATGAGATATATGCTGTGACAATGACTACCACTTGACATATATCTCGCCTGGAGGATTAAAGCAGTGTTATTACACTTGCTGTCACTCAGTCCCGACCACCGCCACAACCCCCGATCTCCCCTCATCTGTTTCATGCTAAAAGAGTGCGATCAGCTAATGAGTTTCTTTGGCCTCCAATTAATCATGCTAATGAGCCCCACCCAGCGAAGATAATCAACTCTTCTCGCAATAAAAGGCAATGAGGGAAGAGTTTGGAGCTTGACTCATGAAACAGCTTCTCTGCGTCCTCTCTCCTCATCCTAATCCCCCTTTTCTTGAAACATTTCCCTTTTTTCTGCACCTCTTCCCTGCCTCTCGTGTTTTATCTGCTCCTCTCTGCCCCTCAGAGCTCCTTATCGTCCTCTCTACTCCTTTCTCAATCTTCTTTTCCATTCCGCTTTTTCACATCCCTCCCCAGTTCCTGCTACTTTAACATCCCTCCATCTTCTCTCCTCTTACGTTTTTCCCTCATCTTGCTCTTTCCTCCTCCTCCTTCCCCTGTTTTGTCCTTCCTACGTCCCTGAAAGCAGCTATAAACTCACCAGTACTCCTTCCATTGGTCCTCCTCAAAAACGTCCTCTGGGATGGGATCAATCAGCACCAGGTCTGACACATGCCTGAGGACAAAGAGAGGACACGCACACTCAGATGAAGTAAGACTCATTGACTACCCTTGTCCACTTTACCCTTCCGGCCCGGGCCGTAATGAGTGTGAGATGGATGTCATCATCCCAACTGCCTTTCTGTGGATTCGTCTGTCCTCTGTCCCTACAGACAGATGACCACACGTACACCATATCCAGGGGCAATATTTCCATTGGGAAAGGTGTCATCCACTCACCACTACTTAATTTTCTCTCGTAACGGCTGCAACATTGCGCCTGATTAAATACTAAATCTTTCATCCCTGGTACGGACTGCTTGTCACGTTAATCACAACGTTGTCTCTGAGATGGATGAGTTATGGGGGATGATAGGAATGGACACTGGAATATATTTTTTGTTAAGTGCAAGTTTGGGAAGGATTGCATACGATATGCTTTAATAAGATTGGCTATTTTTAAATGTTATCATAGATTAGTCACTTTTGTACACTTGAAAGAAAATTCTGGTTATATTCTATATTCTTATATCATCAACAAATCCCATGAAGAGACCCACAGAGCCCCACTGTTGTTCAAAAACTATTACAGACATTACTGAGCCTCTCTTGCATTGGGTTGTCATTACCACAAATACACATATTGTAGTTTATTTAATCTCACATACACCCTTCTGCTGCCATAAATATTCACAAGTATTCATGTTTGAGTGACTTTTGCTAAAAACTGCAGTGCCCTGCTGCTTTAGCAAATTACTGAGACTTTTTTAAACAAAACTATATGTTTGTGACTCACATTTAAAGATTTACATCTTCAATGGATGAATTACTTTAAATAAGCAGTTTTGTAGTTGTAACCTGCCATAAACCAGCCATCAAATGTTATTACATACTGGATTACATAGACTCTTTTATTATTAAAGTGGTATTTCAGCAATTTAATACTGCACTTTAATACATTGGGAGACTCATAAGATACAGATGAAACAAGAATGGTCAAAATGTAAGTAAATAAATCACATCTTTCAAACTCTAAGCCCCCAGTTTGTTATGCAGGCTTTCTGTTATACATTTGCAGCCCTCAACTAAGCCGAGACTTAACAGTTATTTTCTCAGCCTTAGCCACAGATTATATTATACAACTGTTTTCCCAAGCTGAGTACTACCCCTCATGACAAGTACAGTAAACTGGCCTTAATGTGTCGACATGGTGGAGCTATCCTTTAGGTATTTCCATTATTCAATACTTACACATCGTGAATGTGGCTGTAAAACCTGCCGTTGAGAGCGCCGAGCTCAGAGCCCACCAGGATGAAGGGCTTGGCTATCCCGGCAGCCTGCAGGAGTCGGTGGAGATCATCCACCATCCTGGAAGACAACAACACTCATCTGTCTCCACACGAAACCAGGACATGCTACAAACTGGGCCAGGAGGTTTATTTATTCGGCGAGCTTGGACTAAGACTCCCAGCATGAAAGATGAATACGACAGGCCATCATTAATCTCATTAATCTCTAATCTGCTCATTAACAGGTTTATTAAGAACCCACTGGAGAGTCATTACAAAAAAGCAAAACTGACCAAGGAGGAAAATAAGAAGTGTTACAAATCGTATCCTAAATTAAGAATGGTAACAACTGAATGAAAGTTAAGGTCAGCAGTATTTTTAGTTTTCCATTTAATCTCTCTCCAGACATGGGACCAAAAAAAACAGCACTGCTGAATCCCAAATGACACCATAAAGGAGGGGACTGCTGGCTCCTTTTCAGTGCAACCCGCAGGACAAACAATCCCCGGCAAACTTATATCATCAGAGGCAGCATCACCATTACATGAGACGCAGCAGCTCCTCTCTGAGAGCCATCTGCTGTCCTGGGTTTGTTGTGCTAATAAATCAAACCTGAGGTGTCACACTGAAATGAAGAGTTTTCACAAGACTCCAAGGGTTAAGGTTAGGTAGTCATCAAACTCCTTGAGATATTGAATTCTGGGAAATTGATTGCTTGCATCTGAAATTGGCAACAGTTCGCTTTCCGGGCCAGATGCCAAGGTGAACTAGACTGCCCCTCCCTTAGGCAGATTTAAGGCTCGAAAAACACACTAAGGTGTCAAAGGGAGGAAGATTACAGCCCAATCCCACAGCAGTGTGAGGCAGGGCAGGGCTTCCTCGGCAGGGGAAAGCACAAGATGTCCATGCACACATCAGTCTATGCTGCCTGGAACAGTAATGAGAATCCCTGGCAGCCACCTTATCAAAGAAATATTGATTGCCAGTGCATAATTACTGTACAGTGGTAAATAATAAAAAACTGAATCTGATGTGTGTAACAGCACTGTATGTAGTGTAACAGGGTTGGTGTTTAGCTTGACGCAGTGTAATTGTCTGATGGCTGTAGTGCTGAAATTATCAATTTATTTAACAGATAGTTCTCATAAATCATGAATCATCCAAGTCAATTTCTGAGTAAAAATTCCATGGTTCCAGGGTGCCTGGATAGCTCACCTATTAGAGCTGGCATCCCATGTACTACAGCTGAGTCCTTGCTGCAGCAGCCCTGGGTTCGACTCCGACCTGTGGCCCTTTACTGTGCGTTGTCTTCATAGTCAGTGATCAAACTGGGATCACTATTAATTACAATCAATAAAAATAGCCAAACCTATTTCTTCCCTTGTTGTTCCAACTTCCAAATATAGTGATAAAAGTTTAAATATTCCATTCTTCCTTTTGTTGAGGACCCCCTACAACCTACTCAAGGACCCCTATTGCTCCCCGAACTCCAGTTTGAAAACCAATAGTCTAGCCGGTTAGCATGCTAACACAAAGCACTGCTGAGGCTGATGGAAATGCCATTCACTGTGCAGGTATTTAGTTATTAACCAATGTTTTAGACAAATTGAAAATTTGACTTGATAATGGTGCCAGGTGAAACACAAAGGGATCACAGTCATTAGAGTTCATCCTCTGGGAATTTTGTTCCAGTCCATATAGTAGAAGTTGAGATATTTCCATAAGTAAACACTGCGACCTGCTGGTGGCACAACAGGAAAGGTCAGCTGGTTTCAGCCTCTGGATACTATTAATGTTTGTACAAAACTTTATGGCACTCCAAACTAAAACTTGTGATATTTCAGTCTGGACCAAAGTGGTGAACCGACCATCACTGTTGGACCCAGCTTCTCAGATGTACTGACTGGATTTTCTCTCTTTTATATCTTCGTAAAATAAACACCTTTGCGGGAAATTCTAATGGGCATTTCTGACAGCTTGCTGACATTTAGACTAAAAATAATTTTTTGATGAATCAGTTATAAAATTACAATTGGCTGCAGCTCTAGCTAGAGCTGTTCATTGGGTTGTTATGCTCAAACAAGACTGGGGACTTTGTGCACAGTAGCATACATGGCAAAAAAGTGTTACCCCTCATTTTATGTCACATGCACTCAAAATCAGTAGTATACTAACCTTCCAGTCGTTGACATTCCCCAAACTTTCTCAGTTCCTGTGGTTTCATTCGGCATCAGCCGCTTGCTGAAGCCCAGTCCCATCCTGTCATAGGTACAGACCTGAGCAGTGTGACAAACAGGGACACCATAGGTTTAGAGGCATTTTTAAATAACACCATGCTCTACCGACACATAAGATGTTCTCAATAAGAACTCCGCCCCCACCCTATCCTGTTTCGGCACTTTAAAAATGCATGAAGGCTGAGTAACACTGAAAAGTAAGACACAGATACTGGTGTAAACAGTGCACTGTAACTTTGTTTTGTCACTGCTTATGCGATTGAGTTGTTCAGATGTATCTAGGCCCTTCCCCAACAAGCCTGTGACCTCATTTGGGTCACATTTCAGACAAACAACACGGGGCAGGCTGTCAGCCCCAACTTTCTGCTGTACTGAGTCCGTGTTGAGCAGATAGGATGTGGCAGAGCCACTGCACGGACTGTCCCTACATGCCCCTGACAGCAAACAACATGGCCGCATTAGTAGTAACTGATTCTAGAGAAAGTTCACCACAGTGGATTTTCTGGGCCAAGTACGCTGACTCACCCTCAGTGAATCTTAATGAGTATTTCAGTTCTCACAAGTGCACTTGTTTTAATATAGTAATACATAATCTAAACATTTTATTACATTTGATACAATCCACAGTAATAGTGTAATTTTCTCACCTTTGTTAGTGTGGCCACACTTTCTTGGACATGCAACCAAACACCTGAGGACATTCCAGTTGGTGCATCCAGTATGACTAGAGAAAAACAAACTGGTTAGGGTGGGCTCAGTTAAAAAAACAAACGCAAGCACACAGACTTGGAGCCATGTGCTAGAATTGTTTTTATAACTTGCAGTTTATGGAATATCTATATTTCTTACCAACTGGTTTTCCGTGTCCTTTACACAAAAGATGCATCTTTTGACCCAAACCAACATCAACAACCTGGCCATCTGGATGTAAGAAGGAAAGGAATAGAAAGAAAGGTTATGCTTCACAGAAGACTTCTCATTTGGCTTTGACTCAATAGAAAAACCTACAATCTGCCACTGGAGGCTACTCAACACAGATAATAAATACATAAAAAAAAACTGTTTGCAGGTTAATATAAAATTAAACTGAAAGGAGCAATGGCTTTGTTAGCCTTAGATAAGAGAACCTTTCGGCATGAGCATCTGTCCTTCTCTCTGCAGCGATGCATAGTTGAGGAACGGAGGGATGATGATGATTAAAAGTAAACATTTTCCAATGTTCATGAGCACAGAGCCGTAAGACACTCTGCCTCCAGCTTGTCTGTGCAGTCTTTGGTCCGGTTCCTAGTTTATGTAGAGAAGAAAATGCAACGTTAACTCAAACATTAACCTGGCTTCAGCATCCTAGAGCTGGTAAAAACATATATATTTTATCTACATATATATTCATTTCATATATACTTGTAACCTAAAATAATTGTACAACTTTACATTTGTGACCTCACTTTGCAATGTCCGTGGTAGTTTCATGCCTGCAATAACATTTGACTGTTATCAAAACCCCAAAACTTAATATAGTTAGTTGGTGAGTTTAACCAGGGTTAACCACTGTGTATCTTAGTGGAAGAGTTGACTCTTTCCCGAGTAATAAGCCAAGGCCTGGCCAACGTTGATATTTTATTGTACTAAGTGCATGCCGAATTAAAGAATCTTTAGTAAGTATTTGTTAAATAATATATGAATAGGGTTAGAAGTAAGTAAGCTGTAAATATGCGAAGAATTACTAAAATTGCTGTTTTTTTTAAGGGGATTTGGCTTCTCGTCTCTCTACAAAACTGACAGACGCTTTAATGTCACTAGAGTAAAATCAATATGAGAGCAGGGTAATGTCAGTGTCTGACATACTTTGATGGCAGTGTTTAATCTGAACGAAGAGCACGAGTGAGCAGGTTAACTGTTAGCCTCTGAGGGAGTTAGCTAGTGTTTGCTAACAGAGATGTGCTGTCACATGTACAGTATTAGCTGTTAGCTGTTAGAAGCTAACCCTTGTTAACGTTGCATTACCTTTCTATCGCCATTGACCGGCTCATTGTTTGACGCTTGAGCTTCGGTTCTTCTACGCATTCTCAAATGAAGTGTAGTAACAATACGTGCATAAACTGTACAGAATGAATGGAAGTGTAGCTACTTCCTGGTAGAGGTACAGAAGCCGGCAGGAGACAAACCTTGCCTTGAGCGTTGCACTATTTTGGAGCACGTTATGTGTGTACTTTCCCATTTCTTTCTCTTCCGTATTTATGAATCACAAAAAACGATATGAATCACATTAATTTCAAGTCAAGTTAATGCCAGAAGTACATTTGTATGTTGTTAACTACTGTATGTTTATTATTAATAGAAGTTTATCTATTTATCTATTTTGTTTGCCTTGAGCACTTATTAGTGTTTTTTTTGTGTGTTTTTTTTTGTTTTTTTACTTACAATATCTCTCTCTCTCTCTCTCTCTCTCTCTCTCTCTCGTTCTCTCTCTCCCTCTCTCTGTGTGTGTGTGTGTGTTTGTGTCTGTCAGGCAGTATGCAGGATTATAGCAGTACAACTTCTGGCCTGCAGGGGTCGCTGTATTCCACAAACCCATCCTATAGTCTACATCCTAATATATTGCACTCACCAGCAAAGGCAGCAGGATTAACATTAAATAGGCTCATAATCACCATTTAATAAGACTTTGTTTAAACATCTCACACTCTCAAAACGTCCCTAATACAAACAGAGGTCAACGACGGAACATTTAGAAAACTTAGACTGCATCTTCATATAACCGAATAGATGAAGATAATCAGAAATTGGGGCTGTGATTGCGTGTCCTCTACTCCTCCTAGGAGGGCCATTCAAATCCTCATCATGTATAATATAACACATTTATGGTGGGCAGGACAGCTGCTTCTAAGACTAGTAATATATGCAAATTGCTGTTTTTATGCAGTCATACATGTGTGGCACTCCAAAGAGTGCTGGTTTGCGTCATTCGGGGATTGTGACATCCATACTGATGAATTCGTCATTCACATAGAGTTTCACACAGTGCGTGTTGTGAATTGGGCCTGCAGTTTGGCTGGGCTTCATGTCTGTAATCGTCTTGCACATTTTCAGACACCAGGGAGATATCTGATAATAAAGCTTAATGGTTTTTGGAAAAGATTTGAGTTTTAGGCAATCCATGACATCAGAAGTGCGTCATCAGAAAGGGACTATGAGACCTTATTTTGTACTCATTTAAAATCCAGAATGTAGTAGCTGTAAAGATGTCTTTCACCCAATATTCACCAAACAGAGAGCAGAGTCAGCCTATCCATTAAATAGTGTCTAGACAAAGCAAAACCTCAACAATAAACCCTGTTTAGATAGCAGGTGACTGGTGACTTGTAGGGAATTCATTGCCGTAATTAAAAAGCCTGGCTGGACCAAAATGATGAATGTCAGGTATTGACTCGCTGTCAGGCTGCCTGTGTGTGTATGTGTGCGTTTGCGTGTGTTGTTTTTGTTTCAGGGTGTCCAGGGTTGATTAAAGTTAATGACGCAGGGCCTTCTCAGCCTCTTGCTTCTGTTCCTGCTCCACATAATTAGGACTGAGAGAAGGATGGTCTAATCAGACAACTGTAGCTTCCTGCTACAGTTTGTGAATGCCAGTCAAACAGCAGTCACTTGGCCCTTGACTTCTGTCAGTGTGAACAGCGGTGAGCAAAACACACAGTCTTTGCTGTTCGCCTCCTCTGGGAAATCAAAGACAACTCATTCCATCAAAGATTTGGACTTAATAACACGATTCGCCACAGTAACAGAAAAAACTCTGGTGATGCATGATGTCCTTGGCTGCCAGACTAAAGGTTGGTATTTGTAGTTTGTCCCTTGGATTACCGGTGCAGGGTCCATGGCTTTACACATCTCCAATTGTTGACAAAGCTCTAAATCAAACCCACCGAATCCAGCAGTGATTGAACCCTCAGATTGTCAGATATGACCTGCAATGCTTTTATATGATTGCTTTCTTTTGAAATACACATTCTCTCTACTTTCTTGTAACAAATTCTGCTGAAAAAAAATCTATAATATACCTACAATATCCCTTTAGGAAGTTAAAGTGCACTTGCTGTTCCGCTGTATTTACAGTGACCTTTATAATCAGTTGTATATCTTAAATCATGTTTGGTATCAGTGTAATCCATTAAATACAGTTATAATATATACTTATGTTTGTAAGTAAACTGTCTTTAAAAAGAGAGTGTTCTGCTGTCTTTGGGATTAAAATGATGTTACCATGTCCTTTAGTGCCCACAGAACAAGAAGAAAATGTTCTTTACAGTTTATTGCTTTGTACGTTCTGCTATTCTAATTAGATATTGCTCATAAACAACATCTGCCCTTGAGCCACATGTAACATCTTCATACTCCTGGTGCACAAAGATGAACAGCCATTCCTTCAAAGCCAGGTCACCTTGACACGTCTTTGCCATTAGTGCCATGTCTGGAGGCAGCAGCCATTTTTAAGGTGTTGCTTCTTCCCCCTCAGCCCTGACATTCAGCAGTCTCACACAATGCATTTCATCCCCAGTCACAGGGCACTAACATTAAAAATGGAGAGCAGAGCAGAGCAGAGCTATTATTTTGACATTTTTCACATGCCTCTGCTCCCATATTCTCTCTGGCCAGTTTCAGCTCTTTCCCAAGCGATGCTCACTCACTTTGACTCTCTGCGTGATCTCAATCCCTGAAAATTGATTCCTTAAAAAAGAATCACTTCAAATCGAGGCATCGACCCTCACGCAGGAAACTCTACTACATGTACATGAAATCAAATCGTAATTGAGATAGCATGGCAAGCGGATGAAAAGCCATTTCCTGTTTGTCTCATCTGTTTTGTCACATAGAGCAAGTTAACTGGGTGATATTTCCGCACTGGGGAATCTGTATCACCAAAGGCCATCAACAAATTCTGCCGGGGCATTCATATCTCACAACATGTCGGCTTGCCTTTATTAAATCCACCCAACTGAATGGTGGTATGATGTTCCAATGCACCAGCTCAGAGGGAAATCCTGTGTTAAACATTGACTGTTCAGCCACTCTAGCACCAAGGCAGGCAATGTCAGTCAATGTTATTGGAGGGACATTTTTGCACAGACATTTGGGGTGCTCAGAGGATGAAATAGAAGTATATGAATTGAATTTGCCTTTTGACCAAGTACTTGCAAAACTAATGACATACCCATCAGCATCTGCAGTACTTGGTGTTTATTGCTAATTAGCAAATGTAAGCATAACTAAGCTAATAAGAGGGTGAGCACACAATGCTATACATGCTGATGCTCCCATTCATGTCATATTACTCAAACCATAATTACGAGCCAAGTGGGGAAAAAAACCCATTCATGTCTGCCTCCGACTTGTAATTCCAAGTTGGAGATATCAAATTTCTCACAGCAACAATCTCCCACTCACTGAAAAGAATCACAGAAGTGTCAACAAACTGCTGGCAAAGCAGTTACATACTCATAAAATCCAATATTAACTCTAATAGAACCAAATCAAATCAGTTCACATTCCTACTTACCTTGGGTCTTTGGCAGTAAGATATGAGCAAATATTAAAATCATATTGTTTGTAGACTTTTTATAATATATTATTTGCAAAAATAGAAATGTTATGAAACTAAATATATTTGAAATTTTATATTAAAATGTTCTGACATCTAATGCAAGGTTTTCAGAGCATCATTTAGAGCATTAGGCAGTTGTGGAACCTCCCTTCTTTTCTCCAGCCATGGCCACAACTGCTGAAGGTCAAGCTTTTTCAGGAAAGTGCAACACTTGTGAGATCTTCTGGCTTCCCAAGTTGCAATTTTGGCCAGGAAAACTTACTTGGACTTTTATAGCTGCAAGTTTGAGGGAACTAATTAATGTTGAGGAATTCCCTCAAAAGACTTAACCACTCCTTTGGAGAGTATCATTAATTTGTCATCATCAGTGTCTTCAGGTAGATCTTCACTTCCAGTGCTGCTGTCCTCAGCTTTATGCAACATTACAGGCAGTGTCGTCCGAGTAATTTCACCCAGACTCACTCGGATGAGAAATTCATACTTACTGGCTCCCAATAAGTCTCAAGGCAAATTAACTTGTGCAAGACTGTTTACAGTTTTATGTTGGGTGTGAAAACACACACACACACACACACACACACACACACACACACACACACACACACATTTTCTCCGGTCCAAACAGGACTTCATTGTGTGTTTGTGAAGGGAAGAATATCTAATATCTTAATGGGCATTTTTCTGTTCTGTATATGATTCGGTGTGAAAAGGCATACGGAGGCCCTTCCTTGGACAAAGCAAGCTGTTTTTCAGGAAATGCACTGTCTCCTTCATTTATTTATGAGTGAACTCTGGGGTGTTCAGGAGGGTAGGCATCACAGGCATCAGTCTTCAGCCCTCAGTCTTCAGACTCCATGTGGCGCTCATCGATTTTAGCCCCTCGCTGCTGAAGTGCACCATCAATCAATACAGTAACAAGTCTTCATTTATACTTGAGAAATGCAGTTTCCAACTCAGTGGGCATGGAGTCTTGGTGTTGTCAGTGTGGTTGAGAGAGAGGCACCGGTCTGCATTTGGCCTTGGGCCTCATCTGCCCAACGACTGATACATGACTGTACATCATGACACAACAACAACACATACACAAGCACAATCATAACAATCTAGGGCCCCAACTAGAGTCGTTCCGATACAGATGCCAGTATCAGAAATTCCTCCGATACTGCCTAAAATGCAAGGGCGTGCATCTGTGCACCGATCCAATACGACATATTTTATTAGCCCAAAAACTGGACCTTGCTTACCTCCCAGCAGTGTCCCATTTGCCAGATTTTCCCCAGGATAGCAAAGTCATGGCCCGTCCTTCTCTGACTCTGACAAAGGGTTTAACCTGAGACAGTCCATACAGCAATATAGTACATCAGCACTTAGTATGGGCCAATACAGAAAGTGCAAGTATCTGAAACGGTATTGGGAAGGAAAAATGGTATCGGAACATCTCTAGCCCCAACACTGGGCCAGTTAGATGTCTATATTGTGTTTTCTCCTTTACACCCACAATGACAACTTCATAGCGGATGAGGGCAGTCCCCTGGAAAGAAAGCAGTTGT